AACTTTAATATAAGTTTAACATGACAGCAAATGTCGAAACGTTGTACATTTGCTGTCATGTTAAACTTATATTAAAGTTTTTCTTCATTACCCATTTAAGCCGTCTCCAGCCATTATTAGTCTCAAAGTGGGTTCCTCGTCATCGAAAGTGTAACAGAATGTTTTGTTTTTCACGATAGTGTTTGCTATCTAATTCAATTGAATAGGAAAATCTGCATTCTCTATCAAAATATCAGCATTCTTATTTAAATATGTATAATAGTTTTAGACTGTCTACATGATGTAAAAACATTATTGCATTGTACATAATACTGACAAGTTTTTACGCAAAAAACTAGACCGATCAAAAGTTCTGATTGGATTATATCACCTTACTTGTTTTAAATTCTGTGTAAAAATATTGTAAGTAACAAAGTAATGGCTCGTATTTTTCTCCTCTATAAAAACAACGACTTGCCTTCGAGAATGTATAGTTTTGTTAACATGATATTAATACCCTAACTGTTCTGAATGAAAACTAATTATTTAAAAATCGAGGAAAAGTTTTTAAGAGCTATAAATTGATTATTCACAGTACTACAGCCAATTGATTAAACAATGAAAGAAAATCAGAAAGAAATGAACAACAAAGTGAAATGTTTGACAAAAGAAAAATAGATAATTGTGTGAAAAAAAATCAGTTTTCAAACTATATAACAAAAATAGCAAAAAAAAACAACAACATTGTAAGGTGAATTAAATCACGACATGAAAATATTTAAGAACAAATACCTGCCACAGGCTCAGCTGGAATGGACCAACGGCGACCAAATGATGAAGTAAGTGAACGTTCCTTCAATCCACCGTAATATTCACTCAGATCCTGAAGTTCAGAGAGAGCACTTCGCGTGATGACCATGGGAGCTGAACCTCTTCGACAAGTCAGTCGGGAATTTGTAGAATATAAACTATTCGTTGATACCCTTAAGGATGGGGCTGGAGAATCAAAGTCTTTACTAGGAGGTTCTGGACGTTCTTCGGACAAACTTCGCCTAACATGGCTGGACCAAGATGTCTGTTTCATGCGCGTGTTGAATTCCGTATTACGATCTTCTCCTTCCTCAAAAAGATAGCTTTCATCTCTTTGTTCAGCTAACCAAGCAGCACCAAGCTGAACAGTGGCGCTATTATGTTCACAACCTAGGAGGTTCAAGTATTGGTCATTAATGTCTACAAAATTCCTACTACTGCTACTTCCTGACTGGTGTGAAGAACAGTCTTTTTCTCTACTTATATTATATGGAGAACTACAAGCTATTCTTTGATAATTACCCTGGTGTCGTGAAATTAAACTAGAATCTGATTGTCTAAAATATTCAGTTTGTTGAGCATTTTCTATACTAGGTATAGAACATTTAGGTGATGGGGTCCTTGTACAGCAACCATTGCTGCAAGCAACAACTGTGGCCTCCTCTTCACCATGTTCTTTATCAGACTCTTCCTCTTTTGACGAACTAGCGACACTTTTTGTTGGAGAGCTACTTATTCGCTGAGCATACATTTGTAGAGACATATTATCTTCTGGTGTTTTACTTCTTGCAGAATATTCTACTATTTCTGATCCTACATCTACATCTTCTCCGAAATTTTTAGTTCTTATATCCTCAAGTTTTTTATCTGTTTTTTCTAGAGAAGAAATCGACAGATGCTGAAATGACGGTTCTTTCTTCACTTCTGCTAACGTCTGAAACCTGTCGAGATACATTGAATCAATACCAGCTGAAAGTGTAGCTATACTTGTTCTAGGCTGGAGGAGTCTGGATGTCGTGGTTTCTTCAGAAAGTATGTACACATTAGGGCTAGGAACTCGGAATGACGTAAACGACGATGACCCATTGTTACTCTTCCTACGATACTCGAGAGCCCGGGGAACGCTAGTTTTACGGCTACTGTCTGTTGGAAGAATGGACACAAGTTTTTCAGGCATACTGTATCGCCTTCTTTGGAAGGTCCCAAGAGCTTCTCCCAAGAAGAAGCTTTCACTAAACAAACTTCCACATTCGTCAATTGTATCCTCTTCATCTGATGCTAGTGGTGCGAACTCTTCCATGGCCATTGCAGCTACTCCAATCATTGTACTTGTCTCTTCTTTATCACATAACTCCCTCTCAAGGACTTTCTCCCACTCGGCCTGGTTGTATCTCAGGTTCTTCAGTAACTGATTCGACAGGGGTGTGTTCATGAACTGGTCCCAGATTTCAAACAAAGGAGACACCACATAGAGGAAAAAATCTGAAACTCAGAAAAGAAATGAAATAACATACTTTGTAATCTTAGGCTTTAATAATAATAATAATAAAACTCTTAAAAATGTCAACACTTGTAAGGCTGAAAGATATATCATTATTTGACTCAAAGGAAAAAATTAAGTCCACTGGTTAACATTTCCATTTTGTCAAGAATATTTCTTATAATGAAACAAACTATACTTAATTTCTTGCGGGCAATGCTCTTATGATCACTTTTTCAGAGAAATGTTTCAAAACATTAACACTAAACATTAATTAATGACGGTAGAACCAGGTCCGGTCTTAGGGAGAGGCCATTGAGGCAACCGCCTCAGGCCACGCTGACAAATTAACCCGGAGTATTCGCCCCAGGCCCTTCACCCTTCTAAGGCCGGCCCTGGATAGAAATGTTTATTTGAGTGTTCATTGTATTTAAACCAATAAAGAACTGACATTCAATTATATGTGGACATGGAAAATTAGTACGAAGTAATTTAAATAAAAATGTGATATTGATTTTTATTTATGGAATATTGCCCTACCAAAATACTCTAATCTTTTTAAAGCTAAGATGATTAGCAGACATTATGATTTGAAATATAAGGTACAGTAATCTTAGTGGGCTACCACTGCACGTTTTTGGGTTAACATTAGTGGTATGAGGGTTCAATTTATTGCTCCTTACATTTGAAAGGATATTGAATTGTTGGACAGGGTTCAGAGGAGGGTTACTAGAATGATATTTGGAATGGAACAGTTATCATACAAGGACAGATTAAAATAGTTTTTTCTTAAAAAAGTTAAAGGGGATCTGATTGAGGTGTATAAGATTGTTAAAGGAGTTAATAGTGTTGATGCACCATCTTTTTCTTTTGTACTTAATGGTAAGAAGGTAGGAGTAGGAACATAAATGTAAATTTTGGTAGGATAGGAGTCATCTTTAGCTAAGACAGTTTTATTTTTCTTACAGGGTAGTTGTCTTTTGGAATGGTTTGCCTTCAGATGTAATGTAAGCAGTAAATTTAAGGGAAGGCTTGATAGATATTTTAATTATACGGGTTTATATACACATATATATAATTTGATTTAATGGCTGAGACAGACTGGATGGAACAACAGTTTCCTTTTTGTCCTTAAATATTATATTTTATGTTGGTTGATAAATACATTATTTATTTTTAATTTTTTGCATTATAAGCTCTAAGGGGATTCAATAAACAACCAAGAAATACACAAACTTATGAGCTACATTAATGAAAATATATTTTAATGAACGAATTACATTATATTATGATGGACCTTATGGTTGTCTATGAATTTTAAAGTAAAATTAATATTAAGAAAACTGGTTATACCACTACAAAGTATTTAAAAATGTGCCCAAGAACTAAAACATATATATATATATAATAATTCATTAATTTAGGTAATATTTGTATAGAGCGACCATAGTGAGAAGTTTAAGAAATCAATGAATTTGTTTTGTTAATCATGGAATAGTTGTAAAAATGTCAAACCGAACAAAATAAAAAAAGTTTTGTTCTTTTTTGTTATTTTTTTACTAAAAATACTTATTTTGGCCTTCCCACCCCTCCCCTTAGTCGCTCAGCAGTAAGCCTATTGGCTTACGACGCTAGAAATCATGTTTCGATATCTATGGTGGTCAGAACACAGTAAGCCATTGTGTAGTATTCGGTTTATCAACATTAAACCATACTCTTTAAGAATATTATTCTTATTTGGTAGGACTGAATCTTGTATAACAAAGGTTTTAAAGTAGTAAGCATTACATATAAGTAAATGAGTATTTCAGTTAAAATAATAGCTGAATCTTCATGTAATTGTAACTGTTAAACTGAAGAAAAAACTAAATAATTAACTTCACTAAATACCAGAAAAAAGAGAACATAAAAAAACTAATAGAATAGTACTTGTAACCTTTGACCAATTAAATACTTTAATAAAATTACTCATGAGACATAATTAGATGGAGGTCAATGCAAAACAAAAACAAATAAAATTGTATAATAAGGAGGAATATAATTATAAAACAGTTTACGACTGAGTACAGCCTAATTTCTTTCCTAAAGTTAATAAAAATTCTTGCTTAACAACGGTTTAACAACAAAGAATACTAAACTAAACGTGGATTGTTGAGGAAGCAAGCTCTCTCTTCATTTCCGCTCATTCTAATACGTTACACTCACCTGATTGTATTCTAGCAACAGAAGTCCTTGTACGATCACACATAGGCGTTACAGGTAGACCGAGTTCACGTTCAATGTCACCTGGTTTCGAAATACAGATTTTCTCAGTCGTGTGTATTTCAATGTTCAAAATCAAGTCGAAAATACATTATCAGAAACTAAAGTAAACTATTTGTTGCAAACGATTAACACACTGGTGTAGCTGAGATACTTGTTGATGGAGGCCAGGCGTAGCTAGTAGTTAGCGTGCCGGCCTGTACAGCCTTGAGTCGTTCATGACCCTTTGCTGAAAATAAATCACGCTCGGTTCTTCGGAGCTGTGTTATAAGAGTGATGGTTAAATCTAACTATTTGATTAGAGTTGACTAGCTGCCTTTTCTATAGTCTGCAGATTCAAAAATTATGACCGGCTAGTGTTGAAAGCCCTTGTATAAATTTACGCGAATATCCGAAAAGATTAAAAAAACAACTTCCCGGTGAAATTACACGTCATCCAGGTGTTAGAGAAGTTGTCAAGACTGTAGCGTTGTGTAAGTAAATTATTATCTTGCTTTAACAAATGATTGACAGTTATAATACATAACAAATAACGTATTAAATTATAATTTTGTTCAATTAATATCATTACTATATTTCCATTCTGTGTTTTTACATTAATGATTATTAGATAATAGCTAGGCCTACCCTGGCGGTAAAATTCCTGGCACACCTGGTAACTCCACTGTTGACTTATAGCCCACGGACGACATGGATTGCAGAGGTCAGCACATTTTAGTCCCAACTGGAAGGAAAATGTAGTGATGTTTATATTTTACATAAATAAATTACATCGATTTTTATCACTTATAATAAAGATTCTGGAGTTTTTCCCATTCACCTCAAGAGATGATAAAATCTCACAGAGTACCAACGAAACAGTCTCAAACTATTACTTAATGTTAAAAAATAAAAGCTTTTTATAACAATTTGGAATGAATAAAAGGTTTTAATTAACCTTATAAGTATTATTATAAAACAAAGACTCATAGTAGCATTGCTATTGAAAGTTCATCATTTGAAAAAAAATAATTAAGCAATTACGTAACACACGAACATTCAAATATCATCAACTAAGAATATTCTGAAGTCGTTTATTCCGAGGTTCCATTGATATAACAATGTAGGAAATGAAGGAATATTAGCAACATAAAGCAAAGATAGACAAAACTGTCCTAACTTTGTTTTCCTTTAGCAGTTTTTATGCATTGTTGTTACATCCAAAGTTTCGATATATTAGAATATTTAATCATGAGCAAAATCTAAAAGTATTTAAAACTGTCTGTTTATTAATTTGACTTCCCACACATTTCTGTTCTTTTTTGTTGTCGTTGTTAATAACAGTTCAAAACTTCTACAAAATTCGAGTCTTATTGTAGTGTTTTAAAGGTACTTAATTTCTCACCTGTAGTAATTATATCGTGCGATAAGCGTCAAAAACATTTTTAGAAACAATGATCTTAAAAGTGAAATAGTGTGTGGATTAGCAGAATTAAAACATGGGAGTATGGATTAGCAGAAGTAAGACATGGGAGTATGGATTAGCAGAAGTAAGACATGGGAGTATGGATTAGCAGTAGTAAGACATGGGAGTATGGATTAGTAGAAGTAAGACATGGGTGTATGGAATAGTAGAAGTAAGACATGGAAGCATGGATCAACAGAAGTAATAAATGGGAGTATGGATTAGCAGAAGTAAGACACGGGAGTATGGATTAGGAGAAGCAAGACAGGGGAGCATGGATTAGCAGAAGAAAGGCACGGGAGTATGGATTAGAAGAAGTAAGACACGGGAACTTCTGTTTCTTTTTCCTTTCTCTATTGTTCAAATTAATTTCCTGTATATAAGTTACCAGCACTTCCTTCAACACATACACTAAGTTGTGTTTCTTACTCTTACCTGTAGAATAAATTGTCTGAACTCTTTCTTTGATAAATCGAGTGAACTTTCTTCCATGTATTTCTGAAACAGAAAAGGAATTGAAACTAACAGACATAATTACACTATAAATATATTTATCTTTTGAATATCAAAGTAAACGATTGGCAACAAATTAATGTCTTATATCAAACTTTATAAAACAAGCAGACAAAAAGTTAAAACAGAAAACACAAGTTTTTTACCTTTTAAAGAAGTACAAATGCTTTGTGCAAATTCATTAAAAACAGTAATAACACGCCATCATAATAATGTACAAATGATTAAAGAATTAAGAAAACATAAAAAAACGACTAATTTCGACGTGATAAGTGACACAGTGAAACACTTTAATCTTTCCATTTCAGAATGACAAGTATGTATGTTTTGGTATGTTTTCTTAATACTTTTAACCATTTGTACATTACTATGATGGCGTGTTATTACTCTGTAATCTCTTTTAAGCTTAAAGGATGATACTCTTTGCTTGATTTTTGTTTTGTTTTTTGAATTTCGCGCAAAGCTACACGAGGGCTATCTGCGCTAGCCGTCCCTAATTTAGCAGTGTAAGACTAGAGGGAAGGCAGCTAGTCATTACCACCCACCGCCAGCTCTTGGGCTACTCTTTTACCTACGAATAGTGGGATTGACCGTCACATTATAACTCCCCCACGGTTGAACGGGAGAGCATGTTTGGTGTGACGGGGATTCGAACCCGCGACCCGTAGAGTGCGAGTCGAATGCCCTAATCACCTGGCCATGCCGGGCCTAGTTTGCTTGAAAAACCTTTAGTAAATCTTAGCTCCCCTCCCCCCAGTGTCTCAGCGCTAAAAAACAAATTTCGATACTCGTAGAAGATGAATCACAAATATACATTGTTTAGCTTTGTGCTTAACAATAAACGAACAAATAAGGACATATTTAAATTTTATTACAGTTTTAAAGACAAGAAATCCGTCTTTAAAGTCTAACATTGCCAAAACTCATTCCATGCTGAGATGTAACAAAAATAAGCCACGTATTATTACTTCAGAAATTCCATATCAGTAAGATACAAAAACAACGCGTGTCAGGCATATGAATGAAAAACAAAAAATCAAAGAGCAGATCTCAGCTATACGGCTTACCAGCATTACTTGAAACATTGTATAAATCTTTAAAAATCTCATATCCGTGAATTGATTACATATTGCTATAAAAAACAAAACAAACAAAAACAAACACAACTATAAATTATGGGAATATCTAAGACTTCAATTACATGAAAATATAATTAATTTTCTAATATAGTGTAGATGGTGAAATTATTGTTGTTTGTTACACTTTATTTCAGTATATTTTACTTTAGAATAATTACATATTAGTGTAATTATATTCTTAAATGTAGCACTATAAAGTACTTTGATTCTGATATTATATTAGACCATAAAGAAAGTCGTACACAGTGTTTGCGAATGTATATGGGTTCTAAGTCTATGGTTGAGTAAATATGAAGATTTTCACGAGACTGTTGAAAATTTCATACGATTATGATTTCAAAGATATTGTTATCATGTTTTTGAAACAGAAATAAAGAGTGAAATTACATGGTTCCAATTTGTGAGGCCATCTCCGACTATTTTTCCATGTGTTAGGACGACGTTTCGGGCTTTATGCTGTATCCTTCTTAAGGAAAGTGAAAACTGTCCTTATAACAATTATTACAGCGGCTCATCACACTAAGAGGCTAGTAATATGTCATATCATTGGTTTCTGAAACTTGTTCATAGCAATCTCGAGTTTGTGAGTCATGGTTGAACAGCTGTAATATTGCAGTTCCTTATGGAACAAATCACTACGTTATTAGGATTAAATTCAAATCTCCGCTTAATATATTGGTATTTGTAAAGTGGTAATGTTGAAATAACAAAGAAATCGCTCAATATATTATATCATTAGAAACGTATGGTTGAAACTTAGTTATTAGAAAAGAAAGTTCAACAGAAACGACTTTAGAAAACTATTTGTCGTCAGTTTTTTTTAGATAAACCGTTTACCACTGATAACTATGATATGTGATTTTTTAAGACATTACTATCTATATAAGTAATGTAGATGTTTGTGCATGCTTGTTGTCTTGTGTAACGAATTTGTTGTTATATATTTATTTTAATGTCAACGTTTGTTTGGATTGAGTTTATATTTAAAAAAATGCCTATCATTTATTGTTAAATATGTATTGCGAAATTCCTGCCTATTCTCCAAAGTTGTAGAAGATTCTCGAGAGTAAGAATCAACAATATACACAGCGAGGTCACAAGTAAATAAACACCACCTTTTCAGAAACATTGAAAATTTTCAGTCATATTCACATGAATTGATATATTTATAATTTAATTAATATCTAGTAGATTTTATTTTCGCTTCGTGGAGTTCGTTGATCCTTTGGGGCATCGTGAGAATCATCTTGTGAATTTTAGATTGTGGGATTTTCGCCCACTCTTGCTTCAAAACTTGGAGTAGATCGCTCTTCGAAGTTGGTTTTTTTAGTTGTTTCTTGATGGGCCGGTCGAATATGGCCCAGAGGTTTTCGATGGGGTTCATGTCAGGAGATTGGCTTGGCGAGGGCAACTTCTGAATACCATTTTCTTCCTGCCACTTTTGGGTGTTTCTAGCAGTGTGACGCGGTGCTCCATCTTCTTGGAACAACGTTGTGTTTTTGTCCACGAAACCCGAGGAATAAAGTGGCAAGAGTCCTTTCTCCAGTATTTCGATGTATTTCGAAAAATTTATGTTGCCAACGCACTACACTAAGCTCGATCTCCCACCAACTCAAACAGCTCCCCAAACCATCACGTTGAAACCACCATGCTTCACAGCTGGCTGCAATCTGTTGAGCCAAAACTCTTGGTGAGGCATTCTCCAGAGCCATATCCTTCCACTGTCCGAAAATTGAGCGAATCTTGATTCGTCTGAGAAGAATATGGTCTTCCAAAAGTCCAAAAGCTTGGTCATCATATCACTTGCCCACTTCTTTCGTCTGATTATGTTGGCAGGTCTTAATAAGGGC